TCATTGCTGCTTATCTGAAAAAATCAATAATCTGAGTGTCGCACCAGCATAGAAAGCTTTCTCACCACATCTTTTACCTGGGCCCCAGGGAGGCAGCTGACTTCTTTAAGAAGTGGGTCCAGTCTGCATATGAGGCCTTCTGTTCCCTTCAGAAGGGCGTCTACTATAACAATGACTGGTCTTTTTTTCTTTATGGAAGCAGTCTTGATGCAGGGCATAGGCTGACTTAACCTCAGCGACACCTGCATGCTAGATATACTATTGTCTTTTGTCATTGTTCAGTTCCACTTGCAGAACCTTGTACCTATTATGCCAGGGCACCTGGGGAGGTAAGGTAGTCACAGATGAGACGTGCCTGCTGCATTGGTTAGGAACTTGTCGCCATTACCCCCTATCCTTTAAGGCACCGTGTTAAGCCAAGCAGAAAGAAGATAGGGAATCTTCCCTATTATGTGCCTTGTCTGCCTGTTGGGCCTGTCCCAGGAAAGGTAAGGTTTAGTTCCAGTAGTCTCTCTCTTGCACTCCCTGATACTCTTCAACCTACTCACCTCCTCCTGGAGCTCTGTCACTAAGCTGAGGAGTTTCTCTACCTGGGCACACCTCCCACAGGTGTGCTCACTACTGTTGTCCAATACTGGCATAAGAGCAGGACCCACCCTTCAGCCTGACACCTAGGTAGCAGCATGTTCCCATCAGAGCTCTGCCTAGACAGCTGTTTCAGTCATGGTGGGTGCAGAGCTTAGAGAGGCCGTAGCTGTCTGCCAGGTGGATACCATTGCTCCCTGGTTGAGCTGGCAGGGCCTTAGCACCCTTCCTGCATGCCCTCCCGCACAACCTGCCACACCATGCCCTGGCTTAAGTGCCACAGTGGGTAGCCGTCATTACTCAGGGCCTTGTCCATGCCTCGTCAGACACTCTCATGCAAGCTGCCAGTCTCAGCATTCTCCTGGGGTTTCCCCAGCTCAGGACACCATCACCAACACCCCCCTCATAGATCCCCTGCTCCGCTGCAAAATGCACCTGCACCAGAGCTGCTTACCTTGGCTTTCTTAAAAAATATAAACCCAAACCTATTCATATAGTCATGTGTGGTGGGGGGAAACAGTTTTCCCCCTGAAGTTATAAAATGGTAAAACCCCAGGGGGTGGTGACCCTTGAAGTTTTGAAGTTTTACCCAATGAGCGCATCTGCAAAATATAAACATATCACAACCAGAACGGAAGAGAAGGTAGTTGTAGGTTTGGTGGTAGAAGAAGGTAGCCATGTTGTGAATGCCACGAGGAAGGGGCTCAGAGTCCCTTGGGGCCTCTGGGCCCCCCCGGCAGGAGGGCTACAGAGACTTGGAACAGTGTTAAACTGGACTATGTGTCTGTAGCTATGAGCTGGGAGATGTTTCTCCACTGTGAGCCGCAGCAAGAGATACTGAAAAGCGGTGGCAGAACAGCAGTGGACGGAGCAGTGGCAAAGAGCCAGATGAGATAAGACCAAGCAACAACAAAGGCATGCAGCACACAAAGAGAACTTCTGGAAGGAGAGCTGAGAGAAAGCCAGCAGCAGAGGGAGCAGAGTTTAGCTCTACACAGAGTTTTGGGGGTAAGAACTGAACCAGACCCCCCCAAAACCCTTTTGAGACCCCTCTTAAGTTGGGGTGGTGGACTCCTACTGGATGGAAGTCCTAAAATGCAACATGCAGCACTGGAGAGAGAGGAGCTGAGAAGCTCAAAGCGTCCTGGAAAGCTGGACCGGGATGGAGAAGGAATGCAGAGGGGGTGACCTTGGCTGCCCCCCCTCACCACTGCTGCCAAGCTGGCAGCCTGAGACAGAGCACAGGAGCTCTGGTAGAACTCTTGAGGCAAAGGCTTTCAACTGAAAGCTGCCCGAGACGTTCTGACTCAGGGGTGAATCCCCTGAGGAAGGGACTTTCACGAAGATGCCCCTGCACTCGTGATATGCCCATGGTGAAGTGAGTTTTGTCCCTGCTGGCAGTCCACGGGTGAGACCTTCGCTTGGAGTCGAAGGAGAGCGGAGAGGGATGAAAGAGGACCCCCTTGTGTGTATTGGAAGAGATCCAGCTACAACAATCCAGTTACAGCTGCTGCAGAGAAGAAGAGAACCTGCTGCCTTAGGGACTACTGTTCTGAGAGTTGGAAAGGGATCTTTCCTTATCCCTCCTGGACTTTTATTTGGAGGGGAGAAGAGATTTGATCCATTGTAAATACTTATGTCATGGTAGAGATAATTAAGATTGTATATAATGTATTGTAGTATTTATTTGTACAGTCATTGCAATATATTCCCTTTCCCTCATTTGAGTCTTGTGTGGTGTCTGGAAAAAAAACCCATCTCAAATTGGGTTGAGATGTGGGAGAGGGTTTGGACTAGGGAATTGGATTTTGGAGCTCTCAAACCATGACATCACGTAACAGTATCACACATTAGGCCTCAAAAACTGTTATAGATTATTTTAGTCAAACACTGCAAGTTTCACTGCAACTGACTGTGCTGATAAAATGTGACTACTTCCAAGGGGTCTGGAATTGCAACTTAGTGGTATTATGAGTTAGGGTTCCCCTGCCCCTACAAACAACACAAATAGGAAGTCATCTACCATCTCAATATGGCTGAAAGTCAAGAGACACTGGATGCTGACGGGCTTTTTCCCAAGACTTCCCCTTTCATAGTTTCAGACACCAAAAGTGTCTTAGAGTACTGGTCAACAACTGTAAGAGATTCACAGCATTTGCAGTGTGAAGATTTTTTTATCCAGTTGAAGTACATTAGAAAGAAACTTAAAATATACATAAACTTTTTCAGAATTTCTGCATGTCAAAGATTATAACGGCTACCAAATTGGGTGCTTACCAATCTGGAAGCATACACACAAGAGAGATACAAGACCTAACACTCTTCACAGTGAGAATAGTGCTAGGAACTACACTGCAAAACCCAAGTTTGTGTCATTTTTACTCTTTCTACTAATTTTACTGAATTAAATGAAAAATCCATACAATTATGAATAGACAAAATGCATCATTTAACCTGCATCATTTTCAGCACACATAGACTTCACACTAGGGAAAGAACACTGAGATGTGATGCACATTATGAAGAAATTATATAGTACTCATTCAAAATTCATGGAATGATTAGAAGAGAAAAAATTGGGAAAAAAGACAAAATATGGTACAACCTAGAAGCAACATAGGCACACTGGAAATGGGTATTTTCCAGGATTTGTTGAGAAAAAAAAGTGTGCTGGTTTTGGCTGGGGTAGAGTTAATTTTCTTCCCAGTGGCTGGTATGGGGCTGTGTTTTGGATTTGTGCTGAACATGGGGTTGATAGGATAGAGATGTCTTTGTTATTGCTGAGCAGGGCTTGCACAGAGCCAAGGCCTTTTCTGCTTTTTGTACTGCCATGCTGGGGAGGGGACTGGGGATGCATGGGAGGCTGGGAGGAGACACAACTGGGACAGGTGACCAACCCCAAGTGACCAAAGGGATATTCCAGACCATATGGCATCATGCTCAGTATATAAAGTGGGAGGAAGAAGGAAGAAGGGGAGGACATTTGGAGTGATACTGTTTGTCTTCCTGGGTAACTGTTGCACATGATGGGGCCCCGCTCTCCTGGAGATGGCTGAACATCTGCCTGTCCATGGGAAGCAGTGAATGAATTCCTTGTTCTGCTCTGCTTGTGGCTTTTGCTTTGCTGTGGCAGGAGAGCCTACCCCAATCAGACCTAAAATCCAGTCAGAGAATGCATACAATGCAAACCATCATGCAAGCCATCATGCAAGTTCAACTGCTTGCTCCAGGGTGCTGTCTTGGTGTTGATTATACTAAAACCAGCCTGGTTCACCAGACTTTGAATACACATCCTGCTGTTGAAACAGGATTTGACAGATAAGCTGGTAGTTGGACTGTTAATTTGTGTGACTAGCAGTTAATCACTTTATACTATAAAAGTCCAGTCCCCTTTAACAGTCGGGTTCTTCTAACATAACCCTTCTTGGGGTGTATGTGTGGAGATTCCTGCCTTGGGTGGGGACGCCCTCCAAGGACACTCCTCCAGGTTAAGAGGAAGAGATCTCCCCATGAGTGTTGGTATGGGTGAGCTACATCAAATGTCTACTTAATAATTATTTCTTTTTGCTAGCTTTACTATAATTGCTTTAATAATTGCTTCAGTATAGTGCATTATCCTATTTTATACTATACTACTAGTAGTTTTAGCATTTATATTGTTGTGTAGTAAATAATTCTGATTAAGATCTTTTGTCTGATTATTTGTAATAATAAATGATTCGTTTTATATAAATATTCTCCTTTTGTTAATCAATAAAGCCTGTGGGACAAAACTGGTTCAATCACGCCTCTGTAATTCTTTAAACTGTTGACATAATCTGAGGCTAAGATAGGATTCAGCTGCACCTAGGCTCCTCTCTGAGCAGGGGTTTCGAAAGCAAGGGAGTCCTTTCTTCACCTCGTGACTCAACGGCAGGGCTTTTATAATAAATTTTTTTCTAAGCCTTCCACTCCCACCCGAGACATTTCCCTATTAAACTGTCTTTATCTCAACCCACAAGTTTTCCAGCTTTTACCCTTCCAGTTCTCTCCCAGATCCCACTGGTGGGAGAGTGAGCGACCAGCTGCACGGGGCTTGGCTGCTGGCTGGGATTATACCACAACACAAAGTCACATCAAAGTTCCACTTAAATATTCAAGCATATTAAATCAAAGATGTCACTACATGAAGGCTCAACAACCTCTAAAGATTCAGTGACATTTATAGATAGGCTTAAGCCTATCAAAACTTAGTTTGTGATATATTCTTAATGTCTATTACCAGCGACTAAGTGTAACACAATGCTGTAACCAATTACATTATTAGGATTATGGTTTTTTAAAAAAGCTTTTCATTTAAGGCCATTTTAAACTGTTATTTGCATTAAGAAATCTTATAGACTAACAGAGAGAGAAAGCTATGTCAAAGCACTTACCAAACTGACTAAGGACTGAGGACTGAGTAATGGGTGGTTTTAGATCCCAGGATGATGTGGTAGTGGTGGTAGAACTATTATTGTTTTGTTGAGAGGTAAACTGACCCAAACCTGGAGATTTCAATTGGTCCAAGATTTGAGATCCAGCAGAGTTTGTCAATTTAGAGGACCCAAGTTCACCAAAGCCAGAACAAAGAACTGCAGACTACCAAAAGACACAAAAAAATAAAAAAAAAAAAAGGGAAAGAGTGGAGGTGTGTATTTAATAAATAATTTGAACATAACTGTAGGATCAATGCCTACAGCTGGTATTTATCAGCAACCAAAACATCTTCAGTCCTAGATTACTAATAAATCACAGAATCACAGAAGTGTTAGGGTTGGAAGGGACCTCTGGAGATCATCCAGTCCAACCCCCCTGCCAAGGCAGGGTCACCTGGATCAAGTGACACAGGAACACGTCCAGGTGGGTTTTGAATGTCTCCAGAGAAGGAGACTATATGACCTCCCTGGGCAGTCTGTTCCAGTGCTCCCACCCTCAAAGGAAAGAAGTTCTTCCTCATGTTGAGGTGGCACTTCTTGTGTTTTAGTTTATGACCAGTAAAAAAATCAGCAGTTGGAGCATATGACCAGATCCTCTCTGGTTATCACTGATACAACTTCCATCACTGATTACAATACTGATTTTCTGTAACCATGCATCTCAAAATAGCAACTAATAGTTGCATTTATTCTCTGAAAGTCAGCTCAAGTGCCCAATTTCAAGCCGTCACAATTGACTCAGAAATAATCAGGTTTTCACAAAAAGCAGTCAGATATGTGCTTGCAAATAACACATCACAGTTTTCTGGCATAGAACTCTTCACTATAAACAAGTGATTTCATCCTAAATACGCATGCAGTAAACGCATCTGCTCTCTACTCAAAAATTAATACAAGTACTTCATGTGAACCAAGAAACAACTACTTAGCAAAACCAGAAAGAAAAAGTAATCTTTATTTTGTGTGTGTGTGAATGGAAGGAATAGAATTAAAAATTCCTTCAACATCTGAACCTGAATTTTATAAATACTGAAACATCTCATGAAATGACCCATACTGGAAAAGTTATTTAACCTGAAATATTTACTCATGAAGAATATTTAGAAAGCATAAAATAATTTTACCAGACTTTGAGGAGAATAAGAGTTTACAGCACTGGAACTGCCACTTCCTGATGCCATCTGGGTGCTGTGCTGAGAATTTGTGAAGACTAGGGCTTGGCCAAAGGTCTGCTGCTGGGGAGCCTCAAATGAGTTGCCTTCTGTCTCTTGGGTAAAGGTCACAGGCTTTTCAGGCTTTTGAAACAGTGTTACCAAATCAATGCTATAAGACAAAGAAAAGTTTGGAATAAACACAGTGATTAGACTGTGCTAAAACTGAAGAAAGCACAAACAATACTAAAGCTGCTGTACCAGCAACAGAATTATTACTGATTAACAGTCTTTTCAAATATTGCTTGTCTGCCATACTAAAGAGGCAGAAGAGAGGTTTTTGCCAGAAAATTCTGCTAGCTGAAACCTACCATTACAGCTAGAATATAAATTGTCTTTGCTCTCATTTCAAACATTATCAAATTTATAACATCATGTATCACATAAATAACCTATATGATTAATATAACCAAGTAACTGGAGAGAAGTCATAAAAGATACATTGTATTTAAGCTGTAAACCCATTATATATCAATAATCCACATTCTCTGTATATCACACTATTCCTTTAAAAAGAGCAAGGGATAAAAGTCCTACCTTTGTATGGGGTGGGTATTAGGACAGTAAAGAATGAAGTCACATGCAGCAATTGAGTAAATATGTGATTGTATGGAAGTCACAAGAGCAGCAGAAATAAAAGCTAAGTTTTTTATAGTAGGCACATATCCAAAATTACTCTACCACACATACCTGAGCAGGATGAGAAATGTGAATTTTCTTACATTTAACAAGGCTTACTAATGCCTACACATGTTTAACACAGGTTTATCCAAAGAAAAGCAAAGTATTCAGACAATAAAACAATCTACTTAAAAAATTTTGATTTAAGTTTATCCTAAATATACCACAGGCTTGGGCTGAAGAGCTGCTTCCAGCACTTTGATTAGCATAGATTTCTTAATGTCCAAGCCTTTCTTATGGCAAGTAAAAAACCAACCAAAATACCAAAACAAAAAAAAACACAAAACAAAACACCAGGATTCGAGTTGATGAACTAAAATATTTTCTAACAGTTTGAGGGACATCCACTGGAAGAATATTTGCATTAAAACAATGAACATATGAGCATATCACAGAATCACAGAATAGTTAGGGTTGGAAGGGACCTCTGGAGATCATCTAGTCCAATCCCCCTGCCACATCACCTTTAAGAAGGAAAGGAATGGAATATAGACTGTAAGTCAACTGACATCATGCCTCCTTCAGGTCACACCCATGTTATAAGGAAAATTTTGCTGCAGTCTGAAGTACAGCAGTACAGCTGTATCAGGATGTTTGGGACCATTAGGCTATCTAGTTTTCAGATCTCATGCTATCCAACTACAGAAGTCTTACCTTAACCTGCTCTCTGAGGCTAATGCAGGCAATTGATTCCACATAATTGGCCAGGCATTTGGTGAAGACAAAGGCAAGCAAAGGCAGCAACTGCCATATTTTTCATTCTCTATCTGAATTCTATATCATCAGTTATGGGAAGAAATTGTGATGGCAAGGAGATTTTCCTGGTAAGCAACACAAGCTTTTCTGTCAACATATTTGTCAAAGCACTATGCTCTGAACACTTTCTGCATCTACAGGGGCAGGGTTTTCATTTTCTGGACAGCAAAGCCAGAGCTTCCTTTTCAACAGCACCAAAGTTTTCTTCCAGGTTACTTTTGTTCCTGCCTATAAGCAGTCTGTGCAGAAGACAGGGTCTTGTCAGTATTGTGTTCACGGATTTGGTAAGTTTGACTCCACTTCTGTAGGCAATAATAGGTAACACAGGAACCCACAAAAGCAAGACTTTCGCAATTTTGAAACTAGTTTGACCAATCTCTGACCAAGGTTGCCCTGTGTTTTAGTCAACATTTTATATGTGCAAGCTAGCATTGCTTCACCAAGCAGAAAGTTTTTAAGGTATAGGGAAACCGTGGAAGAAGAGCTTACCTCTGCCTAGGAGTCACATGATTCTCAGCTGGAACAGAGGAAGCAGTAAAGACTTTTGTTTCAGAAAGCTGAAAAAGTGTGTGTGGGAGAGTTATTTTAATCATACACATGCTCACACTTCAGTTCTGCGACATCTTCAGAAATTCCATCTTGATTATGCACTTTTAAGATAAAAGTCAAACTATCATTACAACCAGTTATGCTGCAGCTCTACTTAAAAAGACAAAAACATGTAGTCAAACTTCAGCAAAGTCTTCTCCACAGAATTAAGTACCAATTTAATTAAAGTGTTAGGAAATTTGATCTACTCAATGCTGAATAGTATACTAATGTAACTACATCAGTTTGGGAAATAGTTTAACTGAAAACTATACCACTAGAAAGTAATTAATGTGACATCTGGTATATCATCAGTGTGTAGACATAATTCAGGACTCCATAGAGCAGCTCTGATAAACCTTGTTGCAGAAGTCTAACACATTGCACCATTCCCATTAATTTTATGTATCCCTGTGTTTTACATTTCAGCTCACATCACTGGTGGAGGCAGGTTTGCACTCAGGTATGTACAGTGAACTAGCATTTGTGGTTTCTTCTTGGCAGTTCTGCTAGGGGTGGTAATAACATCTTAAATAGATTGTTCTGAAAGCATGAGTTTAAAAACAATAATAAAGGCAGAACTGTGTAATTGCTTTTACTAGTATAAGAAGTCAGACCATCCACAGCAGAAAACTGTACTGCTCCCACCATGCTGTTACAATAAAGATAGATACTTGCACAGGTAGCTGGGGACGGGGAGCTGGTTGGTTGGCATTTTGGGGGGGAAAGGGGGTGATTTTGGATTGTAGGGGGGTTGGTTGTTTCCTGTTTGGGGGTTTTTTAATAGCTTTTCTATTGACAGGAATACTTGCAAACCAGAAGAAGTCTTAAGCCAGTACAGGTTTGATTTAACAAGGCAGAGATATGCACAAAGAATCCCTTTAGAATGTGACATTTGAATCTAGCTCTTCCAGGAAACGATGCCTTTTTAATTGCTAGCAGCCCAGTTTAAAGGACATCACAGACATAAGCCAATTTCATCTGCCATCCCACGAGCAGCTCTACTGAAAGCATGTATGTCCCTGTACATGATCATCTGATTGGTATTCTCCTGTGAAACACTTGATTTAAGCAGGATGCAGAAGGTCTGACTGGGAGCAAATCACTTACTACTCAGAGGTGAAGTTCAAATGTTTCATGTGCTCTCCTAGCACTACACTGGGTCATGAAAAAATGCCACCATAGTTCCTTCCTCCATTTCCTTCCCTTCCTGCCAATACAACATATTTTAATCCCATATTTGTGGAACATAACTCTGTTCTGTGCATAATGCTGCCAGCCTGCAACTCTGTGTACTGACCAAAACAAAGAAAGAAGATTCAGCTCAAGCATATTTCCAATTAAAAAGGCTATTTCTCTATTGCTCAGCCCTTTCCCCACTATATGTGTTATTTTAGAACAACGTGTACTGTACTTTCTGTGGTGTCATGAGACTCCTGCATTATATGGCACAAGGAGGTCAGCTAATGGCACAAGCAGCAGACTATGGTCTGCAATCTCTTGGTTAAATAGCAAATTCTTAGTAATGTCAACAGTTTCTTATGCTCACAAACCCCAGAATAAGACTAACCATGGCCAAAACATTGATGAATCCTGAAAAGTAATCAAATCAAGGAGCCTGAGGATGTTTGTGACAATGCAAAAGCATGCTCGATGTGTGAGAGAAAATGTTCTCTTCAACTGAACCAGCATGCAAAATAGACATCTCCAGCTACCAGTTTGGCTACATTGAAGTTTACATTACACCCTGTGGCAAACTCACTGCCACAAGCTCCAATCAAGCATCTAATTCAGAAGTCTGCTGGGATTACAGCATTTGCCAAAATGTGCAGCAGCATCTGAAAAGCTTTATTACACAGATGTCTTTAGCATTTCTTAGAAGCAATATCAACTCCTAACAAAGTTATTTATGCTCACTGTACACTACACTCGCAAATCTTCCACTGAAGCTCTGGCATTTTCCCACTGAATGAACAGTTGTGAACCATTTGCAAGCAGCAGCCTCACAAGGGTATTTCTGTCATCTGCAGTGAAATGCCTGTGCTTTTCAGCTCCTGTTTCTATGATAAAAATAATTCTTCAATCACCAAACAGACAAAATATTTAACAACTAGTTATCAGCTCTTATGACCAGTTGATAAGTGAGGAGCACAGGAAAATATACTCTGGCATTCTCATAAAAACTCAACAGCAACAAATCAGAAATAACAAAACCTTATTAGTGTTTTGATATGATGTACTGAAGGTAAAGAAATTAAAACAAGTTCTCACGCTGCTTCCTGGTAAAGGAAACACTCCCACTAAAATACGTTATTTTTTTTTAAAGTGTTGCCATTGTTTCAAATAAAAACTAAGACTACCAATACTGTACAGAAAATTTTTGCCTTCATCCACTTTCTAGCAGTTTGTATGTATTGTATTTCTCCTCTTCTGATACTTTCTGTAGTTAAACTTAATTAGCCAGGATAATATAATCACAATTTTAAGAGGAAAATCCAGAGCCATCTACAGAAGCTCAATATTTGTCTGGTCCTTCATTGTCTATACAACCTCCTATTTTCACTGCAAGTAGTTTCCTCTATTAATTAGCATGCTGACAACCTACTATACTCACTCAATACTCACTACAAAAGATAAATACCAGAAAGGACTATTAGGTCACAGAAATCAAATCATTCTCAGGTCAAACAACACGAAATTTCACTCACCTGCACCTAACTTGTATCTGATTAGAGAACACAACATTTAAAGAAAAATATTCTTCAGAAAAACACTTGGTCTTTACCTGCAGACAGCAAATACATCAACTTCCTTGGTTGTTTCAATCATTAGTCATGCTGTTAGAATTGTTTACTATACGTTTAAATGCATGGCTCCATTTTCCAGTCACAGGTTCATATTATGCCTTTTTCTGCTAGACTAAAACAAGACCCCATTATATGCTAACCTTTTCAGATTCAGTAAACTAAAAATCTCACTCTCAAACACCAATACTATCAGTAAATATTTCCAGGTATTTTCCACATTTTTTGTTTTGTAAAAGCAATAAAAAATTGGATGTAGTATTTCAGAATCAAGTTCAGAAGAGTCCACATACAAAAATATAAATCAAGAATGATTAAGAGACAGGGAAGAGTGACTATGGTCAAAAAGACTACAATAGGGTTTTTTTGTCACAGCATCAGCCCTTTAGGAGATCATGCTGAGCCGTTCTTTTTTCATCATCTGCTACAATGCTGAAAATTTTTCAGTTGCTGCTTTCTAGACACCAGCCCTTTATTCTGGAGGTGTGCCTTTATTCCTATTAAACAAATGGGCACTTGGCTATAATAAAGTATTTTTCATTTGAACAGGTCAAGTCTAGCAGAGGTCCAGATTTCTGTATGACTGACTGACTTTTAATTGCATTCCAATAATTTTTTTATTTTCCATACATTTTATTCAGCAGTGATCTTATTTTTACTTCCAAATCATTGATAAAGACACTAGATTGCATCTGGGCTGGGACTGGATTCCTTTATAGTCCTCCTAGAAATGCCCATGTTTAATAAGGGCCCTCCTGCAAAAGATTATTGGCTGAAATTTGCATGGCAGATTTCAATCCACTTAATGTGTTTCATGAAAGCATGTAATTATATTTAGAAGAAAAGATGTAGATTAAATCTCTTACAAGGACATACTCTATCTTCAAAGTTAACTTGCAATTTACTTTAAGACCAATATCAGGTTTATTTGAAGTGAACCTATTTTCGTAAAACTACACTGAATAACACAAGCTGCACTGCATTCTTGCACTTCCTTTTTTTTTTTAATCTGATGAATCAATTTTACTTTATTTTTTCCCTGGGGATGTTTTGGGCTACTTTGTCTGCAGCTCGCTATTTCATTCACTCTTTCTGATCATCAGCATATGAACAACTTTCTCCTAGGTTACAGGGATTTTTCCAGCACACCAAAATTAATAAAAATTAACAACAGGCTAGAGATTTCATTTGCTGTTCCTTCAAGATTCATGTACAAATTACTTGGGTTTAATAGTTAATTACCTAGTCAGCATTGCTCAACATCCCTCCTGTATTACAAATGCTGCATTGTACCAGCAAACAAGGGTGAGAACAAGGACATAATTTTTCAGTATCCTTAGCCCTTAGTTTATTTCTAGCATATACTGCAGAAATAGAAGACAGGTTTAAAATAGCTGCCAGCTTTTGAGGACAGTAACTGATACAGAAAACCTACGAATTTTAGAATTTCTTTTCATTTTCTCGAAAGACATGTCCCTCTTGTTAGGTAAGAATGGAGTTTTCATATCTGTTATATGACACATTCACACATTTCTAGGGATAACACTGACATGCCACCCTACAGGAGGAGGCAAAAGGAATGACTTCTGAGACAATCTCTTCTGAAAATAAACTTGAAATAATGAATTTTCATATAAAAAAAGAAAGACTTCTTAAAAGCTAAGTTTTCCTTTCCACATTTCTTGCTATCTAGTCTGTTTTCTAAACTGCTTACGCTTTAATATAACTGAAAACTTAAAATCACGAATGCAATTTTCACGCATGATGATCACAAATGTCAATTATTTTGCAGACATGAAGATATCTCTTGCCTGTTAAAGAATGAGAACCAAAATTCTTGTAAGTACTTTAGACAACACATCATGATGAAGCAACAGGAATGAAGCAATCGAGTGCCAACATCAGCATACTACCAGCTCCTTTTTTAAGATTATGGGCTAAATGGAACAATTATGAAGATTTCAAACAAAAAGCATCAAATGAGGAGTCTAAAGTTGATAGTAAACTTCAGCACTTAATTCCATAAAAGTCTTGTGATAATATGGCTTAAAATCCTCACATAATAGTAGGGGGAAGTATGCAGTTAACACGCATCAGCATTGAGCAGTGTAGAATTATAATTCACAAATACTTAATTTGGGATAAAACTAAAAAATTTTATTATCTATGTATTGTCCACCCAGCAAAAAAAATTAATATTTCTTGATTCAATTTTATTTTAAAAATAAGCTTATCTAAATATATATATTTTTTAAACAGGAATTACGGCAAGAAACACAATAAGAAATATCACTGCATGCATACAAAGTATTACTTCAAACATTTAGTTTTTGAAGACAACACAAAACTCTGAAAAGGGTAAATAATCAATCAGTCTAACAAGGCACACTTACATCTTCATTCCAGTCTTCTGCAGTCCATTCTTCTACTGAGTTTTTCCATGGTCCTATTGTAATTAGAGGAAAGAAAGAAAACAATTACAAGCTAAAAGCATAATGTCATATTCCAACCATTCTGTTTTGTAAGCAATCCTGCTTTCATTATTAGTGGAACACAAAGCAAGGAGATAGTGGTTGGAAACATGGGAAACTCTAGAAAACTGTTTTGCAGATTTACAATTTTGAGAAGGAGGGGGTCCCCTTTAATTTCTGACTTCAGGTATTTCTTAGCCACTATGGTACCAGACATAATTTGCATGAACACGTCTGCAACCAGCGATTAATCGTAAACATTAGAACTTCCTCCTATTACAATAAGGGATTACTCAACCCTCCCATGGGATCTCCCAGTTTAATGCACAAATTTATACAGAGCTTGAACAAAATATGACCACAACACCTGCTCCAACGTCCATAATCCTACTTTCAACATACTCAAATTCAAGATCTAAGACATGCCTCTGGAGGCTCCTTTCAAATGTCTTAACTCTCTCCTCAGGGCAAAAATACCCCAGTGCCTTCCCCTGAGAGAGCAATTTTCTCTTAAAACATATATAATTCATATAACAGCAGTAGCAGAGTCAATAAGCTTCCATTGTAGCTGCAAAATGCTTCTTCCCATAACTTGTGGCAGAGTTTATTTGGCAAACATTGGAGCACAGCGTGCAGTCCAAAGCATGCAGCAATGAGAAACCTACAGGAAATGATCCTACAGATGCAAAAACATGATCCATCCTGGTAGTTGTTTCATCGTAGAAGGCAATCAGCTTGGTCAAGCATGATTTACCTTTAGTGAATTCATGTTGACTGCTCTTGATAACCTTCTTGTCTTCCATTGGATAGAGATTGCCTCCAGAACGAGGCGCTCCATCACCTTTCCAGGAATAGAGGTGAGGCTGACTGGCTGGTAGTTCCCTGGGTCTTCCTTCTTGCCCTTTCTGAAGACCAGGGTGACATTTGCTTTCTTCCAGTCCCCAGGCACCTCTCCTGATCATCACCACCCTTCAAAGATGATCGTGAGTGGCCTCACTATGGTGTCCGCCAGCTCTCTCAGCACTCATGGGTGCATCCCGTCAGGGCCCATGGACTTGTGGATGCCAAATTTTCCTAGGAATTCTCTAACCCGATCCTCCTTGACCAAGGGAAAGTCTTCCTTCCAACATTCCTTTACCCTGGTCTCCTGGGTCAGAGATTCCTGAGGTCTGGTCTTGTAGGTGCAGACTGATGCAAAGGCGTCGTTTAGTAACTTTCTCTGCATCCTCTGTTATCAGATTCCCCCCTGGATTTAGTAACAGGTGCACATTATCCTTAGTTTCCCTTTTGTTATTGATGTCTTTGAAGAAGCCCTTCTTGCTGTCCTTGACATCCTTGGCCAGATTTAATTCCAGATGGGCCTTGGCCTTCCTCGTCTCATTTCTACTTACTCTGACAACCTCTCTATATTCATTCCAAGTGGCAAGACCCTGCTTCCATCTCCTGCGTATTTCCTGCTTATGCTTGAGTAATGGTGGGAGTTCCTTGTTCATTCATGCACGTCTCTTGCCCCCTTTGCCCAACTTCTTACTGATCATGATGCACCGTTCTTGATCCTGGAGGAAGGGATGCTTGAATACTGACCAGCTCTCTTGGACCCCTCTTCCCTGCAGGGCCTATTCCCATGGGATTCTTCCAAGAAGATCCCTGAAGAGGTTAAATTTAGCTCTCCTGAAGTCCATGGTTGCAATCTTACTTGCTGTCCTACTTCTTCCTCACATGATACTGAAGTCCACAATGCTGCCCCCAACCTTCACATCTCCAACAAGACCTTAGTTAGTATGAAGTGGAACAGCACATCATTTCTTGTGGGATCCTCCACGACCTGTATCAGGAAGTTGTCATCAGTGCTTTCCAGGAACCTCCTCGACTGTTTGTGCATTGCTGTGCTGCTTTTCCAGCAGATGTCAGGGTAGTTAAAGTCCCCCACAAGAACCAGGGCCTGTGACTGTGAGGCTGCTTCAAGCTGCCTGTAGAAGGCCTCATCCACTTCCTCCTCCTGATCAGGTGGCCTGTAGCAAACACCCACAGCAGTGCCACCCTTACTGGTCTGCCCTTTCATCCTAACCCAGACTTGCTCATCATCCACCCCAAGACAGAGCTCAATACATTCCATGTGTTGCCTCACAGAGGGCAACTCCACCACTGCGCCTTCCTGATCTGTCTCTCCTAAACAGTGTGTAGCCCTTCATGACAGCATTCCAGTCATGTGAACTATTCCACCATGTCTGTGAAATGGCAATGAGATCAAAGCCCTGTGACTGCACACAGATCTCTAGTTCCCCCCGTTTGTTCCCCATACTGCGTGCATTGCTGTACAGATACTTTATAGAAGTATTTGAGTGTGTCAACATCCCAGTAGGGGTGCAAGGGGATGCCCCATGGTTACATCTTTGTCTGCTTGTTCTTGCTCGAGGTATCCCTTCTTAAGCCTCCTTTTGATACTAAGGTGGTCACTAATAGTTCTCCCCTTCCCACACCTTATCTCTGTTGAACCTGGCCCTGTCCTGTCCATTTCCCTTCCAATCTAGTTTGAAGGTCTCTCAAGGAGCACTGTTCACTCCTGAGCTAAGATCCTTTTTCCCCTTTGAGACAGGTGGACTCCTTCTGTTGCCAGCAGGCTCAGTGTTGTATAAACTGACCCATGATCAAAAACCTCAAAGTCCTGCTGGTAACACCAGTCTCAAAGCCAGGTGTTCATCTGCATGGTTTTCCTGCTTCTTGCCCCATCATTCCCTATAACCGGTAGGACAGAAGAGAACACTACTTGTGCTTCAGATCCCTCATCCAGTTGTCCCAAGGCCCTGAGGTCCCTCCTGATCGTCTGCAGCCTTTTTGTTGGGACTTTGTAGCTGCCCACCTGGAAAACCAGTAGCAGGTAATAGTCAGCGGGCTGTACCAGACTGGGAAGTTTCTTGGTGATGTCTCTTACCCAGGCCCCAGGGAGGCAGCACACCTCACTATGGGTTGGGTCCAGTCAGCATAGCAGGCCCTTCATTCCTCTCAAAAGGGAGTCACCAATGACTACTACCTTTCTTTTTTTCTTAACTGAGCAAGTCCTGATGGGGGGGGTGGGTTGCCCTGCCCTAGGTGATCCCTCTATCCCAGAATACCTTCATCCACATTCTTGTTTCCCTGATCCTCAGATTTTAGGGTCTCATACCTATTGTATAGAGGCACCTGGGGAGGTGAGGTAGGTCAGGAGGGGATTTGCCTGCCACCCTAAGCAATAGCCTGTTTCCACTCCCCTCCGTTGCTAAGGTCCCCTCTTCCTGCCTGGTGGTGAGAGGGTAGGGGATCCATTGCTTCCCCACCACCTTTGGGAGACTGAACCTACTTAGAATAATACTTGGGACAGTTTCCTGATATTCAATTTAAACATTTATCTGTTGCTCCTACTTATGACCGTGGTTCTGTGGGTTTAGTCTTTTTAAATACTGAGCTGCTAAGTTTATTATTATTGTTTAACACTCTACCTTTCTCACTCAGTCCTTCCAGTTTCAGTTATTTCACTGGTCTTCTCTGCACTAAATCCAGTTTGCTAACGTCTTCCTCCTATTGATGGGTTTCTAAGTCTGATGTTGCCACAAGCACGATTTCCTTTTAGTCCAAAATCCACCTTGACATTATTGCAGCTCCATATATCCTCTTCCCAACCTTTTCCCCAAGCCATGCAAAGCATCACAATTCTTTCCTGTTTCCCTTAGTAACAAGTCTAGTTTTAGAAAGTTATAAAGCCAATAAAAAGTATATTACATATTTTTGGTAAGGCTTCAGCTATTTCTCTCCAATTCCTCACTTCGTGTCACACTATTTGATTTTTTCTCTTTTGAATAATCAGCCATAGATATTAGCCCCCAAATAATTTTTTTTTGGTCTATCCTAAACTTATGTAATAATCCTTTCCTTCTGGATTACATTCACATTCTAGAATGACCTGAAAGTTTCCTAAAATGTTCCTTCTGACTTTTTCAGTAGTCCTAAAAAAAAACTTCCTTGTAACTTTTAAGCTACACAATTCTCTTCTTCCCTTTGACAGTTACACTATAATTTATTTTTTCATGTTGTTCTTCAGTTTCAGAGTTATTTTAGACTGCTCATAGCCAAGATAATAACAAATTAAGTTTCTATGTTAAATTTATGAAACTCTATCAAAGTAGAAGTATCGTTAAATTACCAGAATATAATACCATTTTTTTGTAACCTAATTTGAGAAGTGACCACCTCCAACATAATTTATTTATAAGAACTTTTGTGATTTGAGGTTCAGGATCTCCCATGGACTTGTACATTACAAAAAAAGCTAAGAGACTGAACATTCAGCATGCCTGTAAAAAATATCAATTATGCTGTTCAAGTTTATTCCCTTTTCAATGAGGACTGGTTGTTTTGTTTCCTCCTACCTGTCCCTTCTCTTTACCTTTCAGTTGTATGTTACTTCTATAAAAATTAGGATTTAGAAAACCCAATGTTGAATTATTTGAAATACAATCACACTTAAACATTACGAACCATTGAAGATTTGCCCTTTACTCTTTTTTTTGTATTTCAGCCAACAACACTAAATTTTACCTCCACAGAAGCAGCTAGCTTTTCTATAGGATTACACAACAGTGCACCTAGAAACACCTTTCATTCAGGATACTGCGATTCCTCTGGCATCTGCAACAATTCAGGACAAGAGGTTCTAGAGCGCTTTCAGTGCACGTATGGGGGCAAGTACATTTTGGAAACAAATAGTGTATTTATTTTTAATTGAAAATGTTAATGTTGATCATTTCCTACTGGTTTAAAAAGGAAATACTAAGTATTCAAAACTCCACAGAGCTTATATTTGCATGATGTCTTTAGAAAACATTTTGATATGCAAAATTGGTTTTGTTTCTCCAGGTAGTTGCCCAGTTACCTCCTTTTTAATGTAACTGCAGATGAAAGATACTAATTCTCTGTGTAGCCAGTATGAGATAATTTATTT